CCCTCCCGAGGAGGAAGACTGGGGTCGAACGATCCCACTCGGACTGCATGGAGACGCAGGGTCCTGCAACAAACAGGAATCTATTCTAGCGCTGTCCTGGGATAGTTTACTCGGCAGGGGCAATACCAGACGAAAGAGATTCATTTTCACGATTATTTCGAAAAGCCTTTACACGACAATGACGTTGGATGCCATCTGGGCTGTTTTCAGTTGGTCAATGAATTCACTGTTGTCTGGCGCGATGCCTGCGGTCGATTGGTCAGGAAACAAGCTTCTAAGTGATGGTGCCACTCGACCTCGTATAGCTGGCAAATGGCGCGGTTGTTTAGTACAAATAAGGGGCGATTGGCAATTTTACGCAGAGGTGCTGCACATTCCATCTTGGCAGGGGGCTGACCGAATGTGTTGGATGTGTAAGGCATCCAGCACAAACCCAGCTTTGTTTTGGACCGATTTTGGCCCTGGCGCGGGGTGGAGGGATACCAAGGAGACCCACCAAGGTTACCTGGATTACTTGACCGAGCAGGGGAAACCAATCCCAGTCTTGTTCAGACAAGTTGTAGGTCTAAAATTAAGTTGTGTGATGATAGACATATTACACGCGATGGACCTGGGTCTGCAGATGCATATCGCGGGAAATGTTTTCTGGGAGTGTATTCGACGACGCGTGTTTCACGGACGGAACATTGAAGAGAACACGGCGCGTTTGGCCCGTGACCTAGACGACTTTTACAAACGAGAAAAAATCACATCCAGGCTGAGGGGAAAACTAACTGCAACCAGAATTCGGGAGGATGGGCAATACCCAAAATTAAAAGCTAAAGGGGCGGGCGCTCGGCATCTTACACCTTACTTGGTAGACCTTTGCAGGCGTTTCAACACTGGCTCAACCCACGACGAAATGAGGCTCGCACTATGTAAGGAAGTATTGAAACTTTACGAGATCATGGCGAACAATCCAATGTTTTATCCTGATGATGTGAAAGATGAGCTTGCAGATGTGGGCCGTAAGATTGGCCTGTATTACCACTGGCTTCATAACGATGCTCTAGAAAATAACGAAAGGATGTGGAAATTGACCCCGAAAGCTCACCTAGTCGAGCATTCGTGCGAGTGGCAACAAGCCGAATGGGGGAATGCGTCTTACTACTGGTGCTATGGCGACGAGGACTTAGTTGGGCTGTGCACTGAATCGGCTGGAGCCCTCCATCCCAATACCATGTCTTCCGTGCTGTTAGTGAAGTGGCTTGTTCTTTGTTTCGAGGACGAGGGCCTCGAGTAGACGTGTGATAAAAATATGCGTATACCTAGTCTTGCGACCATCCGCCTTTCACACTCATCTGTAGAACCCGAAGGGGCCGATACAAACTTTTAGAGATAGTTATCTCCATAATCGTAGAAAGCACACCCATATCCTTATTATGGATACGCAACTCTATTTTTAAAGAGATATCACCATAAATTATAGAATAAGGAGATAGATTTTAGAGATTCTCCAAAATCCACCTCCTAAATCGTACATATGTGGAAGTTAACTCCAAAAAAAAGAGAATCTCTATAATTATGACGATCGTGGGCCTCTGGGTGGTCACGCCACGCAGTCGCTCCGGTCGCCCCGCCACGCTGCCCACAGAGGCCCCAGGCAGCCAACAGAGGCCCCAAGCAGCACGCCCAGAGAGGCCCAGCACGCGCAGCAGAGGCCCCAGCACGACGCCCACAGAGACCCAAGACAGTCCGCGGAGGCCCCAAGCGCGCACACAAAGCCCCAGCACGCGCCCACAGAGGCCCCGCCCACAGAGGCCCCAGATAGCCCACAGAGGCCCCAAGCGCGCCCTCAGAGGCCCCAGCCGCCGCCCGAGGCCCGAACAGGCGCCCAAACGACCCTCTCGAATGGCGGTTTCGCATAGGTGTCTTGTTCGGATTCGCGTAGAGGTCTTCGCATTCTGCGTGGTTTCGCGAAGGGCTGGGTTGTTCCCAGGATCAACCCTGGGTTCCCGTTGCCCCCTGCAGGAAGCGGGTTGTGCGTGGACGTCTCCATACTTGGCGCGCGTTTTCGCGAAGGGCTCGCTGTTTCTAGGAGGAAGCAGGGCGCCCCCCGACGCTGCCCCCTTTGGAGGGCAGGTTCGCGGCGCCCGCGGAGTCCGCGCGAGTTTTTCTTCGGAGTCCGCGCGGTTTCGCGACGGGCTGGGTTGTTTCGAAGAACAATCCTGGGTTCACGTTGCTCGCTGTGCGAAGTTGGTTTTGCGCGGGCCCTTCATCGCAATGACGCGATTTTTTTTTGTTGCGAAGGGCTGGTTTGTTTCTAGGAGGAAGTAGGGCGCCCCCAGAAAGGGCTGGTTTGTTTCTAGGAGGAAGTAGGGCGCCCCCAGACGTTGCCCCATTTAGAGCGCAGTTTCTTCATCGGAGTCCGCGCGGTTTCGCGAACGGCCTGGTTCTTTCTAAAAGGAACCCTGAAGTCGCGTTGCCCGTTGGGTAAAGGTGGTTTTGCGTGGGCCCTTCTTTCCAGCGCTACGATGTCTTGCGAAGGGCTGGCTGGTTCCCAGGAGAAACTAGAGCGGCGCCTTTTGACGTTGTTTGTTTTGGAGGGCGGTTTCGCGGAGAATTCTTCGTCAGAGTCCGTGCGTTTTCGCGAAGGGCCCGTGTGTTTCTGGGAGGCACCTTGGGTTCACGTTGCTCGCTGTGCACAGGTGGTTTTTGCGTGGGCCCCTTTTTGCAATGACGCGATGCTTCGCGCTGGCTTCTAGCAGCAGCTACGGCGCCCACCGACGGCGATCCCCTTGGAGGACGGTTTCGCGGAGAGTTCTTCGTCGGAGTCCGTGCGGCTGCGCGAAGGGCTGAGTCGTTTCTACGAACAGCCCCGGGTTCACGTGCGCTGTGCACAGGTGGTTCTTCGTGGGCCCCTCATTGCAATGACGTGAAGTTTTGCGACGGGCTGGCTAGTTACTAAGAGGAGCTAGGGCGCCCCCCGACGATGCGCCCTTTGGAGGGCGGTTTCGCGGAGAGCTCTTCCTCGGAATCCGTGCGGGTTCGCGCAGGGGCTGTTTCTAACAACCCTGGGGTCGCGTTGCTCGTTGCGTCAAGGTGGTTTTGTGTGAACCGTTTTTGGCAATGACGTGATGTTTTGCGAAGGGTTGGCTGACTTCTAGGAGGAATTAGGGCGCCCCACGACGTTGCTCCATTTGGAGGGCGGCTTCGCGGGAGTTTTCCTCGGAGCCCGCGCGGGTTCGCGCAGGGCTGGGTCGCTTCTGGGAACAACCCTGGGGTCGCGTTTGCTCGTTGCGTGAAGGTGGTTTTGCGTGGGTTCCTCGTGGCAGTGACGCGATGTTTTGCGAAGGGCCGGCTGGCTATCGCGAGGAAGTATAGCGCCCCTCGAGTTTGCAACCGTTGAAAAGCGGCTTCGCGGAGGAATAGGAGGCGGACGACGACGATGAGAAAGAGGAGGGAAATGAGGAGGATGACGACGGCGATGATTGCAAGGGCGAGAACGAAAACGAGGAGGGGGACGAGGACAAGGATGCTGGTGTTGCTGGTGGTGGTGGTGGTGCTGCTGCTGCCGGTGCTACGTAGGGCTGGTGCTGCTGGTGGTGCTGTTGCCCGTGTTGCTGCTGCTGGTGTTGCTACTGCTGGTGTTGCTGCTGGTGGTGGTGCTGCTGCTGCTGCTGCTGCTGCTGCTGCTGCTGCTGCTGCTCGTGCCGCTGCAGGTGCTGCCGCTGCTGCTCATGGTGTTGCTGCTTCTGGTGGTGATGGTGGTGCTCGTGCTGCTGTTGGTGGTGCTGCTGCTGGTTCTGCTGCTGGTTCTGCTGCTGGTACTGCTGTTGTTTGTGTTGTTCGTGGTCCTGCTGTTGGTGCTGCTGCTGGTCGCGCCGGTCGCGCTGGTCGCGTTGGTCGCGCCGGTCGCACCAATGGCGCCGCTGGCGCCGCCGGTCGCACCAATGGCACCTGCGGTGGTCTCGCAGGTCGCGCCAATGGCGCCGCTGGCGCTGCTGCTGGTCTTGCAGGTGCCAGTCTCGCCGGTCGCACCTGGCGCGCTGGTCGCGCCGCTCGCGCTCGTCGCGCCGGTCGCGCCGGTGCGGGTCACGCCTGTCGCGCCGGTTGCGCGGGCGGCGGTCGCGCCAGTCGCGCCGGTGCTGGTCGCGCCTGTCTTGTCGGTCGCGCCGGTTGCGCCGGTCGGCTCCAGATCCGCCTCTTATGACAGCGGTGACAGCATCGCCCAGCACGTCTCGGACGACGGCAAGCGGGCGGAGCCAGATGCGGCGGCAGCGGCGCGTTAGGCCCCATACGACCCGTCGGGACGGGGGCCCTGCGCGAGGACCTATGGCGTGCTTGCGGGATAGTGTCGAATCCCCCACCTTGTCTCCGCTGCGGCGGCGGGGAAATCCAGGGCGAGAAGGGGGCCCCCCAGCCGCGGAGGGCTTCATGGAGGGCGGGCAGCGGTTCGAGACCGCGCCCATGCCCTCTCGCGCAGAGCGCGGCACGGCACCCGGGGTGGCGGTGCCTGCGGGACGGGGCGTGAAGGGCGAGGAGTGGTGGCGGGCCTCGACACTAGCAGCGTCTGGCGGGGGGTCGGGGGTCCGCGCCCCACACCTCCGGGCCTGCGCCCCCCCCATCCTTCGCGACCCAGCCCCATCGCTGAAGGGCGCAGCAAGTTCCTGGGAGCGGCTCGGGCCCCTGCGCTGCAGGGCCCCGTCTTGGCCACCCTTACAAGAGACATGAGTGTGTCCCCCCCTCCTTCTTACCGTCATCGCACAGTTTCTAGGGCGACTTGAGGATGCATTTTGAGAACGTACTTGATGCTGATGTCGAAAAAAGTCGCCCCCCTCCTGCTCCTGCTTCTCGTCCGCATGTTTCTCTCCCCCCTTTTCCTCCGCCTCCTCCTCCTCCTCCTCCTCCTCCTCCTCCTCCTCCTCCTCCTCCTCCTCCTCCTCCTCCTCCTCCTCCTCCTCCTCCTCCTCCTCCTCCTCCTCCTCCTCCTCCTCCCCCTCCCCCCGCCGCACCCCGAGGCTCCCTGCACGGCGTCGCGGTGGAGGCGCGGGTGCAGCCTGGGCTGGCGGCCACCACGCGCGGCTGGCCGCGACCGCCGCCCCCCGGAGGGGTGGGGGGCCAGTGGGGGGGGGGGGGGGGGGGGGCGCATCGGGGGAGAACGGGCTCCTCGCGTGTTCCACCCTCGTCCTCATCGTCCTCCCTGATTTCCTGTTGTCCTCGTCTCTTTCTACTCATGTTCCTCCTCGTTCTCCTCCTCCCTTTCTCCTTATCATCCTCGTCATCATTTTGCCCCTTCATCAAGAAGGGGGAGGACGGGTTCCTCGTACGTTTCCTCATCGCCCCCTCCTTTTTCGCATCGTCTTCCTCCTCCTCCCGTTTCTCCTGCCCGTCAACGGCGGAGCTTCCTTGTCCGCCGTGGTGAGGTGTCGCCCTCCTCGTCCTCACAGTCGGGGGGGGGCCCTGGGCCACCAGGTGGACTTTAGCAGCCAGCACCCCCGCGTACCCCCGCGTCCCTGTTCGGCGGGGCGCGCTCGCTTCGGTCCCGACATAGCGGTACGCGGGCCATCCCATCTTAGCCTCGCCATTGTGTGTTTTGGATTGCGCGCCGTTGGCCGCTCGTATCTCCATCCGTCATGATTTCCCCCCGCCTCGGCTCGACGTTGCTGTCGCGCTTCTGGTTGGTTTGCATTGATGTCGGCTCGGCTCACCATTACTGCTGCGCTGCCTGGAGGCGGACGCGAGGGCCTCCGCGGCGCTTCCGCACCACTGAAAGAGAATTTCACTAGGGATGCCAGTCTTGTGCCAGCCAAGGCTACGTTCGAGGACTGGCCATGGAGCGCAAGCAGCCAAAGAAGAGCCAGGTAAGCAACTTGGACGACCCGGGCGCCACATCCCAAACGATGCCAGTCTCGCGACTGCGGCTGGCCCGCGGAGTTGTTTTTGATTGTATTGTTTTCTGCGGCCCGATGTCAATTGTCATTCTCTCTCCTTCAGCCTTGGACATTCGCGATTGATGCTCGCCATCGCTCCATTTATTTGGAGGTGATTGTGCGCACCCTCACACCCATGTCAGATAACGAACGGCACGTATCCACGATGCAAGAGCCTTGGGTGTTCAATCCTTCGTGTATTCAGTCCATGTTGCGGGCAATAAATGCATCACGCGTTTGATCCTGATCCATATCTTCAGTTGGTCAAAGATTCAGTGTCAACGAGAGGACCTAATTTGATAATCCTCCGAGAAGCATGTGCGGGAATTGACCGATGAGCTCAGGGTACCTACCCTTCCAGCGGCGGGTCGGCTCGTTCACGAGGTCAATCAGCTCGGCCGCGCTGTTGGCGTCAGGAGGGCGTCATGGTGTTCCTCTAAGGCACTGAGGCGGACCCGAGTGAATAGTGCAGAGCGCTGGGTAGGGCGCGAGCCAAACAATGTTTTAGCGATCTCGTGGACCGTTTTCGTGCTGGTCTCATGTTGCAGCCCAAGGCGAACGAAGACAGAACGAGGGAGGACGCAAACAAAACGAGAACGGAAAACACTGCTTGGCTCTCGCCTCGGCGTTGCGTGGCCCACCCAATCGACACACGGAGCCACGAATTCCGACTGCCACGGCTGGGCGCCGGCGGAGCGCTCCACCGCGGCTCGGGAGTGGCGCAGAGAAGATCCTGTCGGAGAGCCGCGCGGCCGACCTCTCTGCGAGGCGTTGCCGGCGAACGCCGCCGTGCTGGGCCTCCCGATGTGGGGTGCGAGCAGGTGGGGCCGGAGGGTCGCGCCGAATCGCCGAGGCATCGGCGGTGCGGCTCGAGGTGGAGCCCGATGCTCTCCACGCCGACGGCGCCGATGCATCGGCGACGTCGCGGATGCTTCGGCGATACGTCGGCGATGCGGTGCAGCCCTCCGTCCCCATCTGCTCGGACCCCACATCGGGGGTCTCGAGACGTCGGACAGGGAAGGCGTATCTGTGGGGGTCATGAGGCACCAGCTGACGTGGCTTCCCCCTAACCCCTAACAGGTCCATGCGCTTCGGTGGCGGGTTGTGCGGTGTGGCGCGGTGGGTCCCAGGCGCTCGCTGCACCACTGGCCTCGTCGCCGGTCTGTCGCAAGACGGAGGGCCGAACTCTTCGGTTCGAGCATGGGCGCGTGGCTGTGCTCGTCTTTTCGGTCACGCGCAGAGGGGGGTGGAGTGGGGACCCATGCCAAGAAACACCCTGCCTGCCTCCAGTGTGCCCTCGGTTTCTTGGTTTTCGATGGTTTTGCTGTCGAAGGCGCGACGTTCCCGCACCCCAAAAACCAATGAATGTCCTGGGGTCTCAAGGTTGGGTTTCTTGTGGAAGGTTTCTTGTGGACTGGCCTCCACTGTAGGGGGATGGGAGAAGGCTTCTTAGCAACACCCCTGCTTCTTAGAAGGCGCGGGCCTCGTCTATAGATGCAGGGCCGGCGCCTTCTAAGAAGCAGTTGTTCCTTCTGAGAAGTTTTCCGCCCTCCCCCTTCCCCCCTTGAACGCGCCGCCGATCTTGTAGATTCCCTGATCGCGCATCGCTGTCATGAGTCCTGATAGCGCAGCATGATCGATCATCTCAGGGGAGGGCAGAGAGTAGTATCCAGATCTTTCAAGTGTGGAGAGGGAGGAGAAGGGAGGGGAGGAGGAGGAGAGGGAGGAAGAGGAGGAGGAGGAGCAGGAGCTGGAGGAGGAGAAGAAGAAGAAGAGGTTTTTGGGCTCTGATAGCGCAGCATGATCGATCATCTCTCCCAGGGGGTCCTGGCGGCCGCCGCCGCGGTGCCGCAAAGGCTGCCGAGCAGTGCTCTCGCCTGTCGGGTATAGGAGGCCTCTTGGGCGGCCATGCCAGCAGCAATCCAGAAAAACAAACGAACAAAAAGTGGTTAATAACCAATGCACGCTGGCCGTTAAAAGCAAGTATTGTCTGGATCCCCCGATCCCACCCAATATACTTCAAGCGCCTCCCTACTTCAAGATTCGATGTGCTGTTGCTGCGTTGTGCTATTGTCTGGGAGGGCCTGAACCCAATATACTTGATTCGCCTTCCTACTCCTTGTGTTAACCCACATCTTCGGACCCACGTGTGGTTGTTCAGTGAGTCGATGCTGAACTTATCAAAGACGTGATTTACAACAGCTGCAAAAACTTCACACGGCAGTTCACACGGCAAACATCACGAGGGGCATCTCAGGAGTTTACGAGGAGGCTTCTCAGTAGTTTCCTTGGATCCTCACAGTCGCCTTTTCAGGCGCCTCTCTGGTGCCTCTCAGGACCCTCCCCATGGCTTCTCGAACGCCCTTCGTGAGTTTGCCAAGAGTCTCTCATGATATTATCTCGAGACACTCGCGGGACTCTTTGAGGACCCTCTGAGGAGCTTTTCAGGAGCCACTCTGGTGCCTCTCAGGACCCTCCCAAGACCCTCTCGAGAAGCTTCCATTAGCCTCTCGAGAGACTCTCCTGAGCCTCTCCAGTTCCTCCCATGAGCCTTTCAGGAGCCTCTCGGGACCCTCCCAGGACTCAGGAACCTCTATGGACCCTCTCAGGACTCTCTCAAGAAGATCCTCTCAGGACCCTTTCGGCTGGCCTCCCATAGCCTCTCTCGAGCATCTCGCCATGCTGCCATTCGGGCAATATGCTCGGATCCTTCGGATAGAGCGCGAGCGCGTTGACGGGACGGGAGCGCCACAGTCGGGAGTGCGACCACTGCTTTCTTCCGGCAGGTGTCTGCCTGCGCCTGCTGGCGGCGGGAGCAGGGACCAGAGGCGGTGGGTGGGGAGAGTCGAAGAAGAAAAGTTGCATAAACATAAACTTTTGGAGCTGCGCCAGAGGCGCCGCCGCGGGGGGGGGGGGGGGCAACGCGACTCCAAGAAATCCGCGCGGAGCGCCAAAAGTTTTCTGTTTGTGCTGTTGTTCTTCCTCGAGGGAGGGGTCCAGCGCCGACCCGAGACATGCGCGCGGACCTCCGAGGGCTCCCGCCTGTGCCGCATGTGGCGTGTCCCGGTCCGTGCCCTCGCCGTGTGTTTTCCGCCCCGCCCCCTCCCCGTAGGAAGGCCGCTCCTCGCTGCCCCGCCTCTGGCCGCCCTCCCAAGGGGCCCAGTTGCCGGTCCGATCGGGCCGATGCGATATCGCTCCTGGCTGGGCCCGCTCAAAGTTCGATCCGACTCCGTGCCGATGCACACAGGCGTTGGATCGACGACATGTTCAAGGTCGTATCAGATCACCCAGAAGCACTGAATCCGGAAGAGATGGCACCATGTTATGATGAGTACGAGGCGCTTGGCTGAAGTTTTGCGTTACTGAGGTGTGCCGCCCGGGACGTGTGACACGATCTTGAGGATATGTTTTGTGTAGTTGTTTAAATAAGTATGGGCGCGCTCTGGCCCCAACCCGCCGCACCTACAGGGCGCACAATGCGGGTCGCGGTCTCAGTCGCAGTCCATGCCGATGCAGCCCGGGTCGATGCGATCCGATCCGATACCTCGGGGCCGGCAACTGGGAGGGTGAGGGCTGGGGGGGGGGATATCATGGCGGGGGCCATGATGATATCTCCCCAGATTTCATGGCGCCTCTTCTTATTTCATTACGTCCCTGGCCCCCCCCCCTGGGCCGCGCACATGCCGCAGGCCATGTTTTGCGCCCCCCCTCGTGGACCCCCCCCCTCTTGGCCGCCCCCGGATCCCCCGATCCGGTGCTGGTGGCTCTCGCGGTGGCTCCCTGCGCGCAGGCCCGCGCGTGGCGCTGAGCGATACTGACGGCGCGCCGGCGCTGCCCTGAATCCGGGCCTCCACGCCTCGCCCCGCCGCGCCACCCGAGCGAGCCCCGCTCCACGCTCCACGCTCCTCCTCCTGATCCTCCTCCTCCTCCTCCTCCTCCTCCTCCTCCTCCTCCTCCTCCTCCTCCTCCTCCTCCTCCTCCTCCTCCTCCTCCTCCTCCTCCTCCTCATCCTCATCCTCATCCTCCTCCTCCTCCTCCTCCTCCTCCTCCTCCTGCTCCTCCTCCTCCTCCTCATCCTCCTTCCTCCTCCTCCTTCCTCCTCCTCCGCCCCCTCCTCCTCCGCCCCCTCCTCCTTTGCCTCCGCCTTCTCCTCCGGCACGGGCCGGGGTCGAGGAGTCCGAGGGGCTCGCGTCTCGGAAAGAGCGAGCCGCCGGATGTCTTGGGTGGCCCAAGGGCGTGCTCCATGAGTACTAGGGGCACGAAGAATCACATAAACATAGAAATTCGGAGGTCCGCGCGGACTTCTCGTACCCGCGCTGAACCCCCATGGCGGCGCACCTGGCGCGCTCCGCGCGCCAGAGAAGGGGGTCCGGCGCCGATCCGAGAAGTCCGCGCGGACCTCCGAGTTTTTATGTTTGTGTCATTCGTCGTTCCCCTAAGAACGGCGGCAATGCATGCGGATGGGGGTGGCCCGTGCGTGGCCGCGACCACAGAAACAGAAGCTCGGGCGGGGAGCGACGCCTTCGAAGTGGGCAGGGAGTGCCTCAGGAGAGGTCACCCCTTCTGAGGCTCCCACGCCGCACTCGTTCCCTGGAAGGTGGCGCGGGCCGTCCCCACGCCATGCGTTCTTTTTTTGCGCGCCGCCCACGTTTTGGCCCTGTGAGTGCATACCTCGTGTTCTGCGTGGTTGTCCAGGACGCCTCGTCGCCACCTGTGGATGCGGGTCGAAGCGGCGGCCAGCATCGTCGATGAGTTTGAGCAAAGTTCAGCGGATGGACGAGCGGCTCGCTCACCGCGTGCCCTCCATGGGCTCACTCGGCCTCCGTTTCCGCCGGTGCGTTTGCGCGTCCGCGCGAGCTCGCCTCAGGAGGAGGAGAAGGAGGAGGAGGTCAAGGAGGAGGAGGAATAGGGGGAACAGGAGGAACAGGAGAAGGAGGACAAGGAGGAGGACGAGGAGGAGGAGGAGGAGGATGTAAGATTATGTTGTTTTTTGATTCGCTGGTTCGGGGAGGGATGCTGGGAACGAGGAGGGGAAGGGGAGCGCAGGATGAAGAGGGCTCAAGAGTCAGGATGGCGGGGGAGCTCCACTGTTCCTCCTGCGCTCCAGGACGTGTTTTGTCTTCTCACCCCTCGAGGGTGTCCTCCACTCGTGAGGGGAGGACTGTTGATGCCACATGCATGGGCCACCTGACAAGGAGAAGCAAAAGCCGTATGATCCAGACTGATTCCACGGATCGGGCAGCGCCGTCCCCCCGCGGGCCATTGGGGGCGTTCTGGAGCAATAGAGGTCGAGCGAAATACCGACGGGCAGGCAAACGGCGGCAGTAGTTTGCAGGTCGAGAATGATGTCGTGATAGGTTTGGCTCAGGATACGTTCCAGGATCTCCAGAGTATCTAGCGGACCTTGCTTCTGGAGCCCCTGCGGAACAATAAGAAGTCTTGGAAATGTGGGAGGTCATGGGACGTCCAATGATAATAATGACTTGCTCCTCTTGGCCTTTCAGGCATGCCCCTGGGGAAGGAAGCCGTTGAGAAAGATCACGACACGCTTGGCATGGCCAGGCCACCCTGGGGCGAGACCACCGAGTGGCGGATCCTTAGTCAACACGCTGACATGAAGACCCCTGTGAGTTCAGGCTGGGCTATGGTTTTCGTATTCGGGCTGCTTCTCGGATTCAGGTTGGGGAACCTGTTCTCGGCCAGTGAGCCATGTTCGTTTCTCATTCAGTGTTCCTCATGGTAGAGCGACGACTGCAAAGGCCTACGGCATTTGCTGGCCGCCCCCCTGTCCTGCATGGGGAGTTTTTTGGTGCGTGGGGATTGGGCCAACAGATAGAGAGAGAGAGAGAGAATGCGCGGGATTTGCGGCGGGTCCCCAGTTAGAAATCAGCAAGCGCGCAAGTTGTCAATCGATGCTAAGGTGTCTTCCCTGCCTTGGACCACTCCTGGAGGCAGAAGACGGCGCCGGAAAGCAGAATCAAGAGGAGCGATGTTCGGACCCCGCGCGGTACGAGGGGGGCTCGGCCCTGGAAGCACGAAGAAGACCTTACCAGACAACAGGAAGAGTGTTCCTACACGCCCCAAGTTGCCGCTGGCACAGCGGCGGACTGCGCTTTCCCTTATGGTACACGACGACCGTATTCCTCCTGTATTGTCTCGGCTCCCGCTGCGATGCAGTATCCCAGGTTGCCATCGAAGGCGCTCAGAGAAGTAGCCCGACCTGCTGGCAATATGTTTTGTGGCACCGCCGCCGAGCGGCGCAGGCTGCCCGGTTTCGACTAAGCGACCCGCAACTGTTGCTTGCTGGCTTCCCCTCCGTTCGGGGATTGCTGACGTGGTGTCCTTGGCCCGAAGTTCGAATAAGAAGAAAATGCAAAAATCCGTTTGGGTTTCTTGGGTCTGTGCTGGACCACCTTTGCGGCGACTCCGACGCCGCCCCTGGCGTGTTCCGCGCGCCAGGGAGGGGGGCCAGCGCCGATCCAAGAAATTCGATCGGACATCCGACAGTTGCGCTTGTGCCAGTGCGCGTTTCTTTTGCGGCGCCCCCAGCTTTTCGTTCTCTTGCGGGACCCCTGGGGCCTTCTGGGCCCCGTGAAGCGTGTTTTGGAGGCCGCGGGGGCTCTTTGGAGATCCTGGGGGGCCCATGGGCCAGGGACATCTCAGGCAACACCCCGACTCCGTAGCCGAGGCGTGCGTGCCGAATTGGCTCAGCTGCTGCCTCCATATGGGCACCGGGTCTCGAAAAAACGGGTCGCGCCGCGCCCTGTGCCGCGGGGGGGGGGAGCAGATGTTCAGCCAGTGTGAGGAGCGGTTGCGCGCCCCGAGCGAGACAGGGGCAGCGGGGAGGACGTCGTCGAGGAAGCGCAAGCGTGGACTTAGGCGCGTGGATTAGCGACGGGCCCCGTTTCTATACAGCATCGGCGCGCCCCATTACCAGGTTAAGGTGGGGCGTGTCTCCCTACAGGAGGAGCATCCAAAAATAGCCAAAAAATAGTCAGGGAACGATTTTTCTATCATTCTTGGATCATGTTTGAGCCGTATGTTTCATTTTTTCCTCCAAAAATTGCCTGTAGAGGGTGACATACCCGACCTAAGATTAGCGACGGGCCCCGGTTCTTTCCAGGATCGGCGCGCCCCGTCACCCGGTCAGGCGGCCTGTTTCGTGGGGCATTCTTCCCCGATCCGTCCAGCCGGCGCCCAAACGCCACACCCTCGGATCCGTGCTCCATGTTATAGCGTGTGCCCGACACTGGCAGAAGAAGAGGGGTCCCCAGACATCGGGCTGCTCGACAGATCGAGAAACGGTCATTGGTTTCACGATTTCGGGTCTTCGGAGGCCGCAGCTTCGGGCCCTGGGACCGTCAAGAGCAATTTGGCAAGGAAAAGCTGCCCCAGGGAAGGGGGCCGAGAGGTTGGAGGGGGGCCATGTGCGCCGTTTTTCGGTCACGGCCAAGGGAGGAAGCACAGGAGGGGCTTGCTGTGTTCCCGCGAGCGCGCGCATGTATGAACGACGAAGGCGACAGCGTCGGCGAGGCAAGCGACAGTGAACGACGACGAAGACGATCGACGACGGAGATGAGCGACGACGAGCAGCGATGGCGACGACGACGACGGCGGCGACCGCGACGGCAATGCAAGCGACGACGACGACGACGAGGACGACGACGACGACGACGACGACGACGACGACGACGAGCGATGACGGACGACGGCGGCGGCGACGACGACGACGACGTTGACGTTGACGACGACGACGACGGACGACGGCGACGACGACGACGACGGAGGTGACGAGCGGCGACGACGAGCACGATGGCCGATTGACCCAGCGGCGCGCAGGCCCTGCCCCCGCCGCGCCTCGTGGGCAGGTCTGCCGCGCTGCGGCAGCGTGGTGCCGAGGCGGCGCCGACGAACGACGGCGACGACGACAGCGGCGACGGCGCCAACGACGGCGACGAAGAGGACGACGTCGACGAGGACGACGACGACGACGACGACGACGACGCGGGCGCCGACGACGACGACGACGACGACGACGACGAACACGACGACGACGACGACGACGACGACGACGACGATGCCGACGACGGCGATGCCGATGGCGACGACGGCGAGGACGACGACGACGACGACGACGACGACGACGACGATGACGACGACGACGACGACGACGACGACGCGCGCGCCGACGACGACGACGACCACGACGACGACTCGGGCGCCGGCGACGACGACGACGATGCTGACGACGACGACGATGCTGACGACGACGACGACGACGACGACGACGACGACGACGTCGAGGACGACGACGACGACGACGACGATGACGACGACGACGGCGACGCCGACGACCACGACGGCTACGGCGACGGCGACGCCGACGACGACGACGACGCCGGCGATGCCGACGACGAACGACGACGACGTCGGACGACGACCACGACAACGGTGCCAGCGACGGCGATGCCGAGGACGGCGATGGTGCCGGCGCCAAGGGCGACGGTGGCTGCGAGGAGGCCGTCGATGGTGGCGGCGGCGGCGACGTCGCTGGCGACAGCGAGGTCGGCGGCGGCGGCGACTCCGAGAGTTTATGACGAGATTGTGATGTTACTATTCTGGCGACGGCGGCGGAGGTGGTAGCCGTGGCGACAACGTCTCCGTCCTGGAAGCTTGCGTCCCCGGAGACTCGATGCCAAAGCTGGACGCGGCCCAGGAAATTTCGCAGGATGAGCCCCAGGAGAGGTCCCGAGGCCCGAGACCGATTTCGACCGCTGTTTGGTCCTGCTATGCAAGCGGGGTGGACGGCGGCGGTGGC